ACCGTGAGATTTTTGTTTGCGAAGCTTGCAAGAAAATTGCAGTGAGATTATTTATTGACCGCTTAAATGATTTATTGTTACGTAACAATAATAATAATAATAATAAATGTTTTCAACTTTGCATTGCCATGTTGACCCGTTTCCGATTTTTGACAATTCGGTACTAAACTAAATGTAAACAGAATGCCAATAATCTTTTGTCAGTGTGAGATTATTCGTTATTGATTCATTGTTTTTTCTGAAGCAATAAGTTTCCAGGAATTGAATTGGCAGAAAATACAGGAATTGATTTTTTGTGCTGTGAGGTAGAAAATAGAAATATTGAGTGAGCGAAATACACATCCGAAATGAACGACAGCACCAACGACCAACACGTGCCAATGACTATGAAATGTTTGAAGTGTTAAAATATGGTAAAATAGTAACGTCAAGACACAGTGTAGTTGTTATCATATGACAGCTGCGTAAACCAATTAGATATGATAGCTGCATTAACGCAAGCTAATTCATCGTACGTTGTTTGCACCGTTAAAAATCCCCTGAATCTAAAGTGCTAAATAGGAGGCTGTTATTATGCGATGTTTACCGACCAATTTTCGAAATTCCTATGTTAATAGGTATCGATTGACGTACAGGAGAAAGAAATTTATGGGTTTGAAAATAATTATCCCATTTTTAAGGGATATTGTGCCTGCCAAATGGAGAGCACAACGAGAAGCATGACTTCATAAAAAACTTGTTTGAATGAAATGCAGGATTGTTGGCTATCGCGACGACTATTATCTCTTATCTGAGAAACATTTGACACGAAAAACTCATCCAAAGCTGCTCCAACTTTGCCTCTCGACGCTGCTTTATATAGTCGTATAGACTGTGTCTTGGGAGCTTTTTATTGGCAGAAACCGGAATTCCCACTTGATGTTCGCTCCCAGAAGGATACAAATATTGTACATATTTAAAACACTTTTAATATTAAGGCTTTTTATGCTGTGTTCAAGCGTTTTTATGGTTTCAATAAATTCAGGCGCGGTTGCGAAAATTTGACAATTAATGAGATTGTAAACAAGGAGTAACTTTCCTTTCTTTCGTATCATCTTCAGCAAGAAGTTATAATAACGGAACGGATAACAGAATCAGTTTAAAAACTTGCTATCATATTTTTTGAAGTTTGTTGACGAGCTAGTTAAATATTTCCAATACTTAAATTCCAATAAATTAATAGGTTACTAAAAAATTTTGTGGGAAAAATTCTGTTAATGCACTTTCTTTCCTATTACATTACATTCTTATTTTTTGGTCAGTTGGGAAGGAATTCAAGTTGAAAGACAGAATTTTTTCGTTGACTGAATAATAAAAATGGCCTAAAGACAATTGATAAATGCTGATTTTAAGATCTAATTGATGCCTATAAATGGACAGATGGAACATAAAACACAATATTCAAAAGTCAATTAATTTTATTAAATTAAACACTTATCAGAAAGTTATCATCATCAAAGTTATGACGCAAAACATGGATTTTCAGGGTGACAGAATATTTTTTGGATGAACCAATATTCAGAAAAAAACTATATTTTTTGCGCTTCAAGTAGCGTATGCAAACTAGGCTCTTAAGTCGCTAAACTTCGAGAGATTGCAATGTCTTAAAAAGTTTCAGTTCTGCCAAAACCCTAGGCTTGCATCACAGAAGTTGCCGCAACACTAGACTCGAACAGGTGCTCGTTACGAAACAAAAAGTACGAAGGGTAGCTTCGCTTATCTTTTTTTTGTAACATAAAGGATAACCAAGAAAAGAGTTACATATTGCCACAAGTACAGTTTTATAAACAATAAGTATTTTAGACATTTGAAAAATGGTTTCTAATAACGCACGTTTGAAATAACACCACTTAGTTTTTCGAACATTTTCAGTCAACATTTTTCATTTGTTCCAAATGTCGAAAACGCGATACTTGTTTTAGGAATAAAAATGTCGAATTTTATTTTAATTTTATTTCAAATTTCATTATTAACAGCTTAAACAGCAAAATACGATTGAGGTGCGTTACAATAATAATGCTGAATCTTGTAATTGTTAGATTTTATTCCCAGTAAACGTGTTTCCGGGGAGTTGGTAAAAGCGACGAGGGATTCACTAAGATATTATAAAATAAATGGGATAGGTTATAAGGGTTTACAAAATTCAAAGTTCTTTGACTTTTCATCATTTTTATAAGTAATAATTCATAAAAAAATGACTTCCATATCATCAACTTCCACCAATCAACTTCGATATCATCGGAATACTTTCATCATTAGATTCACGTTACTTTCTAATTTAATTAGAAAAATGAACGTTGAATGTTCTACGCCAGGCGAACAAAATTACATTTAAGTGGAAGTGAAAGGAAGGGAATGTCGGAAAATATTATTTATTTTCACAATGCATTTTTGCATAATAAATGCAACGGAAATAATTTTGCCTAATATGTGACAACTCACTGATGATCAGAAATGTTCGTGGGCTCAAAATCGCTAATAAAATATAAAAATCTTTCGTAGAATATATTATGATTATCGTTGTGATATAGAATATATATTCTAAAATTTGAGTATACTAGCCAGGGAATTTTTTTTTGTTACGAAAACTGCTGGATCAATTTAAATTAAAAAATTTTAAACTATATATTTTGAATATATTAACATTTGAGCAATTTTTATACCTGCCCACTGTTCATACAATATAAATTTCCATGCAATATAAAACATCAGCTGTTAACGGAGCTTTCAAGCGTGCAAAATCTATGCCGTATGCGAATGCATTCTCCTGTCGAAAAAAAAAATTTAATCCTAAAATACGGGGCAAAACACTATAAGTATTTCGAACATTTTCATTCAACATTTTCCATTTGTATCGGTAAGTTCCATAGGTCGAGAACGCGATATATGTTCATGAATTAAAAATGTTGAATTTTATTTTAATTTTATTTCGAATTTCATCACAAACAGCTCTAAGATACCATTTCGAAATTTACTTTTCGGAGAAAATGAGTTTACGGTGCGTTACAATAATAATGCTGAATCTTGTATATAATTGTTAGACTTTTATTTCCAGTAAACGTGTTTCCAGGGAGTTGGCAAAAGTGACGGGGGATTCCTTAAGATATTACAAAATAATAGGGATAGGTTATAAAGGTTTACAGAATTCAAAATTGTATTATTTTTCAGCATTTTTATAACTAATATTTCATAAAAAAATTACTCAAGAAACCCACCTGCCAATCAACGTAACAACTTTAAATTAAATATTGTCTATAATAGATATTTAAACGAGCTGCTTTCAACAACGATTCCATATCATCAGAATACTTTCATCATCAGATTCACGCTACACTCTAATTTAATTTTAAAAAATGAACGTTGAATGTTCTACACCAGGCGAACAAAATAAATTTAAGTAGAAGTTATAGAAAGGGTATGTTGCAAATATTATTTATTTGCAAAATATATTTTTGCATAATAAATGTTACGGATATAATATTTTGCATAATTTATTACAACTCACTGATGATCAGAAAATTCTCGTTGGCTTAAAATCGCTAATATAATATAAAAATCATTAGTAGAATCTAATCTAATTATTGTTTCGATATAGAATATATATTATTAAAATTGAGTATACCAGCTAGGGAATTTTTTTTGTTACGAAAACTGCAGCATCAACTTCAATTATTTTGAACTTATATGTTTTGAATATATTGACATTTGAGCAATTTTTATACCTGCACACTGTTCATACAAAATAAATTTCCATGTAACATAAAACCTCAGCTTTTAACGGAGCTTTCAAGCGTGCAAAATCTATGCCGTATGCGAATGCATTCTCCTGCCGAAAAAAAAAATTTAATCCTAAAATACGGGGCAAAATTTTCAGGTATAATATAATACATTTAGAAAGATATATGGCAATGTACGACTGCCGAGAAAATGCAGAAATTCAGCGCTGCCCGAACATATCCCTGCCCGAGGCCGGTAAGGCCGAACGGAAGGAAGCCTGGCATCCTCCGATGCTGCAGCTCTCGCTCGCTCCCAACAAAAGTTGCTCAATTTCGTAAGCTTGAGACTGAGGAAATACCTGCTTGCAACTTCCCTTATAGGCCAAACTGATCGAACGCTGGAATTTTAAATGAAAGACTCGTTGCTAAGGCGGACTTTAACATGGACGCATACGACTTTCCAGTGATATAATTCGCATGGATAATGGAACTGAAACATTGAACCACATGCCTTCAGGAGGAAACTGGGGTAAAATTTCCAGGATTTTGTGAATTCTAAGTAAAGACAAAGCAGGGGAGTTTGTATTTTCGTTTTCGACTGATAACTTGAAGGAAAATAATAAGCAATTTCATATATATAACTCGTTATTTTTATTAACGACAATAGAATAAAAAAACACAGCTAACAATTGTAAATGTCATTTACATGAAATGTCATATATATTGTCATAAGTGTTTAACATACTCGTACATGAAAATCGATATGAAATATAATTAATTTCCCTCATACAAGTCACATACAAATAAACATTCAGAAAGGTTTCCATACAATTTTAATAAAAGTAATACATCAAAACTATATAAATAAATAAACTGTTTAGCTTCCACATTCAAATTCACATTCTCGCAGTCAGAATTCAAAAGGAAAATTGAATGAAGGTAAAAGGCAGCTGGTCTGGGCGGTCGTCATCAGGACCTGCGGGAGAAAACTGAGCGGCTTTGCCGAAGTCAGATTTACGAAAAGATTTAAATTCGCCTGAGAAAAGCAGGGTATTAATTTACATTAAATATCATTGGGGAAAACTCTGAACTTAGTCTACTTAAATTATTAATCTACGTTTATATAATATGAGAATGCATTCAAATTGACTGGATACACGTCATTCATAGTATTAGCGCTCTCCATGATTTTTAAAATGTAATAAAAATCAAAGTGAAAATAGGTTAAGGTAAATCAATTGAAAATTAATTGATTAGAGAAACATGAAATCTAGTGAAATGGCGAAAATATTAGATACCTGCGATTATATAAATTATTATATCTATTTATTGATTAACATCATATATAATGTTACATAATGAAATTTGAAAATATAATATTTTGCGTTTTTATTAGTACATTTTAATTATTTTTGTATTAGTGTTATAATTGCAATGTCTGCCTAACATTAGTTCGCAAATAATTCACTTATGTTCAATTATTATTGTTTTATTATTCGCGCGAGATTCAAAGTCTACGGATTTCTGCATATCCATTGACAATATGTTAAAGTTAATAAATAAAGAAGATTTGACAAAATGCCATTCACTTCAAAATTCTCCGCATATTACTATTCCTGACAGTTCCCTTCATGAAGTTAGTCGTCCTATATACGGCACCTTATAAAAATATCACACGACTGACTTATAAATCTTAACAAATTTGGAATTATTACTGATGTCCAAGTATTCGTAATTCTATAGCATTTGAGCGCTAATAAACAAAGTTAATATTTTGCAAAAATTTTCAATTAGCAAAAGTTAAGACAGCACGATAGCTGAATGATTCAAATTCATAGGCTTGATTCCATTGGAATTCCTTCCCCGAGGCAAGTCATTGAGGCTTCTTGAAAAGATTTAATCACTGCCAGAAAATCAAAAGACTGAACTCTGAGCACGAAAGTAGAATCCTGATTGTCATCCCATTCAGCGAGAAAATAGCGCTGTAACAAGGCTTTAAAGCAGTGATGACGTTCGTGAAAATGTTATCGTGGTAAATGATGATGGGGAAATGATAAGAGCAAGCATTAAGAATGTCGTAAAAATTGTTCAGATAAAAATATATTTGCGTACCAAAAGCATCACTTTCAATATAGATAAATTCGTCTGCTGATCCTAACTGAATAGGAAATAATTCACCCATTGATTTGTTATGTCTATATCATGCTTAGTAATTCAAAGCGTGAAACCTGTGATCTAAACAGACAAAAATTTTGTAAATAAATACCGGATAACAAGGCTTAATTTTACAATATCCCCCGCAAACGACCATTGAATTAATCATGGAATTTTAGACGGAAAAATAAAAAATAAATCACAATTTAGTTGTACGATGCGCTGAGTCTGAAAATTTGATGAGCCACATAACAACAGGTGAACTTTCCTGGAAGCTTTTATAGATCGTTAAAGAAATATCAGTGGCTTGAAAATTCTATTTGGAAGCACTTCTGGCGGATAAATCCTATGAAAAATAAGGAGACTTCATATGATGGAGGGTCGGAGTGTGGTTACTTTGTCCCTAATTTTTTTAAGTGAAAAAACAAAAAAAAAATTATGTTCTGAGTTTCGTTATTCATTTTAACTATCCAGAATTTGAATGATTTCCAACTCATTTTGACGATTCGAATTCATTACAAGAATTGAATTATCTTCTTGATTTTCGAGTTCCTTTCAAGGATGTTGATTCTCGCCCATATAAGGGAGACTCGTCAATATTTTGGAGCAAAAGGATATTCGCTTCAAATAATCGGGCTTAAATTAAAATATGCCTTGCTTGGACTCATCCGAGTCGGAGGTTATGGGTTAATTAAGTGAGAATTCTTTATATAACATCATGGATTTCTAACTTACCGCAATCTGGTACGTAAATCATGGACCAGTTGCCGTTGGTACAGTTGTTGTAGAGGGCCAATTGTCCGCTCTGGAAGTACCCAGGACAGAAGTACTCGACGACGACTCCTTCTGTGAAGTTGCCCGTGAACGACGAGTTCGCGTGCAAGGGAGCGTCTAGCGGCGGCCCAGGGCACGCTGAGGGAAGTCAAATGTGAAATAATCAAGAGTCTGTGCATAAAATAATTTGTTTATCAAGTATTTTCGGATATCTATTACTTATGAATATGGATTAAATGGAAACAATCTAACTGGGATTTAAAACGTTGGTATAACGCGTCATTGTGCTTAGTTACTGCCGGTGCGTAACGCGAAAAAATATCGGAGACAACAGACAAACTTGATCTGAATGGTGGTCATATTAAACGTTGTTGAACATGTAGTCAATTATATACTTAATTATCAAACACTCACCAGGTCTACAGACAAACTTCTCCTGCAAGGTGGTCATGTTGAAGGCTTGATTTACAGGTCCGTAAGTCGCATTACCCGCCGTATCCATGCACTTGATAGACTCGTTGAATGCGCCGTAATCTGTGGCTTGTCCCTTAGGGCACTGGTAGGTGAGAACCTCTTCCACGAAGGTAGGTAACCCCGACCACGTCACGTTCACGCCGTTGATTTCGGCCGGCGGGTCCAGGCAGGCTGTAAAGTTTGTGCAATATTAACTAGATTTACTTGATTTAGTTTCCCATTAAGTTCAAAGTTTGCATTTACAGGTACAACTAAAAGGAGCTAAAACTATTCTACCACCAGTTACTAACTCAAAGCAAATCCCTGAAATAAAAGTTGCTTAATATTGATGTGGAATAGGAAACTAACTGATCGAAACTCGAGTAATATGATGAGTTTAATTATAATGTTGAGTGTACGAAAAATAGTCACGAGTTCGTGGCTATTTTTTATAGAAGCCGTCAGCTAATCACTAAGGGCTTTTGAAAATAAATCCATAAATTACAGACGATAAATCTACCGCAACGTATCCTTATTCCGCTACGTTTGCTTCAACGAGTTTCGATATTAGACTGAGAAAAATGGATGGGCCATATTGTCCAAATAGCTATACACTTGTTACATGTAGCACTGATATGTCTTTTTTCTGGACTAAACTGGGTCAAGCTAACATGCAAATGGGCAGAGGGTAAAACATGCAGAAGGTATGGCTGTCCTGACGACGTGTATCGCATTCGTATACAGAGGGCATGGCTAACCTAACCTTGGTTATCCTTTCCGTATTCAGAGGTTATGGCTGACGTTATGACAGTTATCGTATCCTATACAGAGGGCATGGCTGACAATAACGTTGGTTATCGTACATACAAAGGCTCAGCTAACCTCGGCTGCAGATCAAGATGCTGCTGTTGATAGCCGTCCAGGATCCGTTGACGCTCGTTGACGTCACTGTTGTCATACGATTACCGAACACTTGTCCAGCTGGGCAAGTGTAATTTACCTGAAATATTTTATCAATTTATTTTACATTAAGCAATTCGTAACTTGTTAATATTTCCGCACTAAAGGCATGATCAATGATGCGACTGTAAAACCCAATGAGAGATGTAACTGCACGACCAGTTTTCTATTGATGTATTCCAGTAGCGTGATATTTGATTTAGAATCTGTGTTGAACCTAGTTCATGCGGTACGCTTTTTGAATAAATTCTTGATTAAAATTTATTCCTCTTCAGCCTCCTTATCTTGGATGAAACGAGTATATACTTGAAATTGACGTTTTTAATGTAAGATATCGTCTAACGGGAATGAAAATAGCAGGCTATAAGCGAGGCGAATATGAATAAAAATTAATAGGTACACTCTAACGAGATCAATGCTTACAACATATACATAAGTAAAATATAAGTTGAGCATAAAGTCAAAGAAATTAGTCTATATTATCAATAGAAAAGAACTTACCGTAGCGCCCTCGCGCAGATTGTCGGTGCCGTCGCCTTTCCACGTGGTCGTCATGGTCGTCATGTTGGGTGGGGCGGCGGGTGGCTGGTTAGTGGCCACTGAAGACAAATAATATCTCATTATAGCAAATAACTTATTTATGTAAAATAATTCCTGAAGATTTTCTCTTTATATAAATTCGACGGTAATAAGTTAGCGCATTTAAACGGCATATTTAGTAAATTTTGTTGTAATTCGTTCTCATTGAAATATATCCCGGCACATATTCTTCATTCTTATTCTGCCAGGCGGCTGCACATGACAGCACAAAATTTTGTTCTGCAAACAAGCCACGAGTGGAAATAACCTTGGTAATTTTTTTTCTTAATCAACCGTGAGCGGGCCTTTCGGTCGAGAATTTGCTCAAGTCTTTGGCAAATCCGGAGATATGTATATATATTTTGTGTATTTTGCAACTTTACGTATAAGCTAAAATTTGACCAAAATTTAACAAAAAAGACTAGTCGCAAAAATGACGAGTAGGCAATTTTGAGCAATAACTCTAATTGTTAATGTAAGTTACGAAAAAAATAGTATTATATATTATTTAAGATTAATATGGAATCTTGCCGGACTAAGGAAATTATTTTAAAATATCTATTTGTTGCATAGGTTCTATATTTATATTCAATCCATTCGCATAAATAAATAAATTTAAAGTAACAATTTTACATAATATATTTTCTGTAGACAGGTTATTAATGCCTCCTTAATCACGCCTTGTACCATTGCTTACTGATGCTACTCTCAAAAATTCGATTTTCCCGCCCAGTGCTCTCAGCCCAGTTAATTTGGCAAGTACGCGCCGATTTCCTCCATAGTATTAATCTAGTAATTAATTATAAAGTAGTCTCTGTAATAATAGTCTATAATCAAGCAAGTATTCTCTGTAGTAGTCTATAATAAATCAAGTTGTCTCAATAGTAGGAGTTTACTTGTATAATTAATCAGTAGTATCTGTAGTAGTAGTCTACGATCAATCAAGTAGTATCTGTAGTAGTATTCTACAATCAATCAAGTAGTATCTGTAGTAGAAGTCTACAATCAATCACGCAGTCTCTATTCGAATTCTTAGGCACTGCTTCTCAACGGACGTGGCTATCGTGGCAAATAGCGTAGCCGTGAGCAGACAGCGTAGCGTATCGTGGCGTCCAAAACATTTCCTGATTTCCTAAAAATTTGAAAATCAGTTTTTCTAAAATCAAGCAGTTGAGCTGGACTCAAATTTTTTGAAATATTTTGACCTGACATGTGCGTATGATTATGATGTCGAAACCGTGCGTTTGGTTATGTTAATAACAGAAATAATGCGGGACTCACACAAGTAGCAGTCGAGGGTTCCTCTTGGAATGGTCCAGTCGCCGGTGGCGGAGCAGGTTGCCGTGACATTGCTGGCCATAAGCAGAGTCTGGAAATAAGTGCAAAAAAAAAAAAAAAACAATTTTTGAATATCTCACTGTGAGGGGCAAAAAATTAGGTATATGTGTGTATTCTGATAGGAACCAGATAATTTTAAGGAATTTCATACAATTTGAATCTTCATGGCGCTTACCCCGTTGGGTTCGAGGTATGTTCTGGGGTCGCATGTGTAGGTGACTTGAGTGCCCACCCAGCGCTCCGTGATGGGGGACATGGTGAGGTTCGCACCCGCGGCAGGAGGCATGTATCTGCACGCTGAAGGAAGGAAGAGACATGAGCTTTGATTATGATTATTATGTTGATAAATGAAATTTATCAAATTGGATAATGAACAAATTACCTATCTCCACTATATGATAACGTAATTTTATCAAATATTAATTGAGGACGTGAATGGAGGCTGATGAAATAATTATAAATATTAAATTCATAGTTCTCTTAATGATATTCGAGAAATGTCTTCTAACCTTTTTTGCAGGGTAATATGGACGTCATGTTCCAGTTGTTCATGGTACAGGAAATGTTTTGCGTCGTGACGTTAAATTTCGCTTCGAACCCGTCGACGCACGTTGCTGTTACGAACTCTTTAGGCGTGAGCGCCGCGTTCGTGACGAGGCTTGCGTTGTAGACGTACGCTGTTGTGTTCGCGTAGTCTGTTGTTGCGTTTAGAACTACCGGGGCTCCAGAGCAAGCTAGAGAATAGAATGTTTTTAGCAAAAAAGATGTAAGTATTTAAGAAAGACATTGATTTGCCTCGATAACTTTGACTTGTTACTTAGGATTAATATGAGTTTTGACTGAAGATAAAGTTTTGGCAGAAGTATTACTGAATAAAAGAATTGTTCTTTGAAAGGTATCGATAAAGGATCAAAGGCTGCTTCAAATATGTGAATCATAAAAAATTATAAATTAGCATGGAGGCATTAGGAAGGTAATCAGGAATGTGTTACGTAAATACATTTTCTCACAAAATTTACCGTAAAAAGAGTATTAGGAATTTATGTTTAGTATGATATAATTGTGAATTAAATAATTGAATTTTATAAGCAACAAATAATTGCATATTATCATTAACCAAAAAACCTCCCTCCATTATGTCGTTCGCTCTCACAGTGAAAATGTAAGGAATTTGGAATCACTGTAAATTTTCGTATAGTTGTATTTCTTCAACAATGTTTCCAGGTGTTATCTTCTTGAAATTGCAATTCTATATGGTTTTTGCCTACCTTCTGCAATTTATTCGTAATTTAGGTCTTAAATTTTATGCGTAAAATTGGGTTTCTTTGCTGATTAAGTGATTATCCTCATATGCCTTTACATTTTGTCGAACTGTTGACGGAGCTTGTCACTAAACTGTTGCAATAAATACGTAGTTAATATACTCGGTATTTTCTTTGCATTTTAATTCTTGATTGAATAGAAATAATGATAACAGGTAATTTTTGGACATGCAAAAACGAACTATAGTCAGGGAAAATATTTCTGACCGAGGCACTCCTGGAACGCTGGCTGGAAGATGTAGGAGGTGGAGTTGGTGGCGTCCTGAGAGCAGGTTAAAGTCTGGTTTGCGTCCCCGGTTCCCGCTATTCCCATTCCCGTCGGGCATGTGTAGGTGACATTTCCATCCAGGAATACTGAGTTAGCGTCGGTGATGTTCTTCATACCAGCGTTTGTGACGTTAGGAAACGCATTGGCGCAAACTGTTGAAAAATGAGAGCATGTCTCATTAATACGAACAAGTATGCTACTTTCGCTTATGCATTGCACGTAATTTTTTACGATTATCCGTCTGATAATTTGAGCTTTTTGAATTGAACTGAACTTACACTAGCATTAGTATTGAATTTTAAGTTTGGAGAGCCCCCAACTTATACATGCTGTTTTAAAATGGAACCCTCAACAAATTCTGATCATCCGACGCTGAGGAACCAACTAACCATGTAACGTGTCAGTAACAACACATTACTAAACTATGCAATATGGTTTGGTTACACCTGGCACTCTGATGCAGGGCAGCAGCTGCAGCTCATGACTGTGCCACAGAAATACAAGAGACATCACCTGGCACTCTGATGCAGGGCAGCAGCTGCAGCTTATGACTGTGNTTATACACATCTAGATGTGTATAAGAGACCAGCTCATGACTGTGCCACAGAAATACAAGAGACATCACCTGGCACCAGCTCATGACTGTGCCACAGAAATACAAGAGACATCACCTGGCACTCTGATGCAGGGCAGCAGGGGAGGTTGCCAGCCGCCGAGGGCGCCCAGGCAGTGCAGAGTTTGGTTCACCGACAGAGAGACGCTGCCATTGACGAAGAAACCGCGGTCACAACTGTCGGGAATTGAGGTATGGACGATGAAAATGTCATTTGATTTATTTAGAACTAATGTCAGTTCAATGAATTTAGCCTCCCGACCAAAAAAATTACACTGAAAAACATCAAACATAGGAGCTTGGATGTTTTTTTTTAAATAACAGCCTATAGTGTAATTGCGATCGAATGGACCGCGTGTGGAGTGGACATTCAAGTTATCAATAATTAGTAATAATTCATAGATTTTCAAGTTATTATTTTAGAGAGTTAATATTATTATTGAGTTAATACGTTAAATTATTTGAATTACGTGTAGACGATGGAGTCTGAGAAATTTGCTGTGGTGAAGTTGGCGGTAGCCGTCATGTTGGCAGTGGGGATGGGGCTGGGGAAGTAGCAGCCTGGGGAAAGAAAGGGAAGCATCAGCAAAGGAAAGGAAGAATCAGCAAAGAAAGGGAAGCATCAGATACGAAAGGGAGGCATAAGATAAGAAAGGGAAGCATCAGATACGAAAGGGAGGCATAAGATAAGAAAGGGAAGCATCAGTTAAGAAAGAGAAACATCTGAAAGAAAGAAAGAAAGAGAAAGGGAAAGTAAATTTCGCTGTTTCCAGCGAAATTTCTCAGTTTTATTGTCTTTTTTATTTGGAATGAATTTTTAAATGGTATCACTGCCCGTTCAAGCTTTTCATGGTTTTAATATCATTGTATTTGGAGGTAGTATAAATATATTTTTCTAATTTGACACTTTATTTAATTTTTTCATTTTTGTGTACCCATAATATATTGCTTCTATGCAGTCATTGTTGGCACAGCGCCTTATGTGGGTCATTCAAAGTTATTCGTACGGTAATACCAGTACAGCAAAGAGGGAAGCTTATAATACTGTACTGTAATACCAGTACAGCAAAGAGGGGAGCTAATCATACTGTACTGTAATACCAGTAAAGCGAAAAAGGGAGCTAATTGAGTTGGTAAATTCAGAATCACCGATGGGTATAATTAATGGTAATGCCTGCTCATATTATTATGTCTTCCATTAAACGAAATTTTTGACAAAAGGAGACAATCGTTAAAAAGGAAAACTTTTTCAGTAGTCATGAACTCGCGGCAAAAATAGTTTGTTTCCGTTGGTAATTAAATATTTCGGCGGTTAAGTATTGGAATAATTGCAAATAATTTCAAAACATTTAGCACACAACGCAGCACAACATCAATAATAGCTTTACCAAATTAAAGCATTAATGCAAAATCATTAGTTCCAGAAATAAGTGAAACGTAACTGGTTAACCCGTGGTTTTTTGGGCCTCATAATTCCTGTAATTTTGTATCCTTGTTATCCCATATCCCGTCATAGATAATCAAATTAATGTGATTAATTAATGATAAATCATAATGGTATCATGATATCATAAAATTAATGGTAATCAAATCAATCAAATTAATTCTTAAATAACATAAGAACAATTTCAAACACCTTTTTTGTGAGACGTGACTCCCATTTTACTCCTGTTTTAAATCTGTAAAAAATTTATTTGAGTCTATTAAATTGAATTTACGTCTATCAATTGAAATATTAAATTTTTGGTCCAATGTTTTCCTATTCTTCTATTAAGAAATTTCAGGCCTAGGCATTACCCAACACGATACGCACCCCAAAAGTCAGCTGTCCGATAATTGGCGGTAGCTGTCATGTTGGCCGTGGGGATGGGGCTGGGGAAGTAGCAGCCTGGGGAAAGAAAGGGAAGCATCAGCAAAGGAAAGGAAGAATCCGCAAAGAAAGGGAGGCATAAGAAAAGAAAGGGAAAGTAAAGTTCTCTGTTTTCAGCGAAATTTCTCAGTTTTATTGTATTTTTTATTTGGAATCAATTTTTAAATGGTAGCACTGCCCATTAAGGCTTTTCAATAGAGCCTATGTACTTAAATTACATAGGAACACGTTCAAACACTTTTTTTTGTGGGACGTGACTCCCATTCTACTCTTGTTTTAAATCTGTAAAAAATTGACTTGAGTCTATTAAATTAAATTTACGTCTATCAATTGAAATGTTAATTTTTTGGTCCAATGTTTTCCTATTCTTCTATTAAGAAAATCAACGAGTTTCGATATTAGACTGAGAAAAATGAATGGGCCATATTGTCCAAATAGCTATACACTTGTTACATGTAGCACTGATATGTCTTTTTTTTCTGGACTAAACTGGGTGAAGCTATATAACATACAAATGGGCAGAGGATAAAACATACAGAAGGTATGGCTATCCTGACGACGTGTATTGCATTCGTATACAAAGGGCATGGCTAACCTAACGCTGGTTATCCTTTCCGTATGCAGAGGTTATGGCTGACGTGATGGCAGTTATCGTATCCTATACAGAGGGTATGGCTGACGTGATGGCAGTTATCGTATCCTATACAAAGGGTATGACTGACGTGATGGCAGTTGTATCCTTTACAGAGGCTATGGCTGACGTGATGGCAGTTATCGTATCCTATACAGAGGGTATGACTGACGTGATGACAGTTATCGTATCCTATACAGAGGGTATGGCTGACGTGATGACAGTTATCGTATCCTATACAGAGGTTATGGCTGACGTGATGGCAGTTATCGTATCCTATACAGAGGGTATGGCTGACGTGATGGCAGCTATCGTATCCTATACAAAGGGTATGGCTGACTTGATGACAGTTATCGTATCCTATACAGAGGGTATGGCTGACGTGATGACAGTTATCGTATCCTATACAGAAGTTATGGCTGACGTGATGGCAGTTGTCGCATCCTATACAAAGGGTATGGCTGACGTGATGGCAGTTGTATCCTTTACAGAGAGTATGGCTGACAATAACGTTAGTTATCGTACATACAAATGCTCAGCTAACCTCGGCTGCAGAGCAAGATGCTGCTGTTGATAGCCGTCCAAGATCCGTTGACGCTCGTTGACGTCACTGTTGCCATACGATTACCGAACAATTGTCCAGTTGGGCAAGTGTAATTGACCTGGAATATTTTATGAATTTATTTTACATTAATCATCTCATAACTTGACAATATTTTGAAAATAAAGGTGTTATCAATACTGTGAATGTAAAACCCAATGAGGGACATAATTGCACGATCTGTATTTTATTGAAATATTCCAGTATCATGATACTTGATTTAGAATCCATGTTGAACCTAGTTCATGCGGTACGCTTTTTGAATAAATTCTTGATTAAAATTTATTCCTCTTCAGCCTCCTTATCTTGGATGAAACGAGTATATACTTGAAATTGACGTTTTTAATGTAAGATATCGTCTAACGGGAATGAAAATAGCAGGTTATAAGCGAGGCGAATATGACTCAAACGAGATCGATGTCTAGAACTTGTACATAAGTAAAGTATAATTTGTATATACAGTTAAAGAAATTCGTCTGTGTTATCAATATAAAAGAACTTACCGTAGCGCCCTCGCGCAGATTGTCTGTGCCGTCGCCTTTCCACGTGGTCGTCATATTGGTTAGGGCGGCGGGTGGCTGGTTGGTGGCCACTGAAGACAAATTATATCTCATTATAGCAAATAACTTATTTATGTAAAATAATTCCTGAAGATTTTCTCTTTATATAAATTCGACGGTAATAAGTTAGCGCATTTAAACGGCATATTTAGTAAATTTTGTTGTAATTCGTTCTCATTGAAATATATCCCGGCACATATTCTTCATTCTTATTCTGCCAGGCGGCTGCACATGACAGCACAAAATTTTGTTCTGCAAACAAGCCACGAGTGGAAATAACCTTGGTAATTTTTTTCTTAATCAACCGTGAGCAGGCTTTTCGGTCGAGAATTTGCTCAAGTCTTTGGCAAATCCGGAGATATGTATATATATTTTGTGTATTTTGCAACTTTACGTATAAGCTAAAATTTGACCAAAATTTAACAAAAAAGACTAGTCGCAAAAATGACGAGTAGGCAATTTTGAGCAATAACTCTAATTGTTAATGTAAGTTACGAAAAAAATAGTATTATATATTATTTAAGATTAATATGGAATCTTGCCGGACTAAGGAAATTATTTTAAAATATCTATTTGTTGCATAGGTTCTATATTTATATTCAATCCATTCGCATAAATAAATAAATTTAAAGTAACAATTTTACATAATATATTTTCTGTAGACAGGTTATTAATGCCTCCTTAATCACGCCTTGTACCATTGCTTACTGATGCTACTCTCAAAAATTCGATTTTCCCGCCCAGTGCTCTCAGCCCAGTTAATTTGGCAAGTACGCGCCGATTTCCTCCATAGTATTAATC